TCCCATACGTAGCTCCACGAGCACATAGTTATTTATGCAAATAATATCCGCCTGCGGTGGATAATTCGATCGACAGCCCAAGTCCTTAAGACATTCACTAACCTCCAACACGTGTTGATGACCCTTCAAACTTTCAAGTTTAACGTGAAGATTCAGGTCAGTAGCCATGCTTCGTCTCCAAGGGAAAGAGGCCCCCTGTCTTCCTCCGACATTGGGTCAGTCGACCAAAAATTAGCCCGGTGCTAACTCTGCCAGACTACCGTTAGCAGCTGCCGCTCGTGTCAAAAACAACGTATCTCGGTGTCATTATAAAATATAAAGCATGGGACGCTAATACCACTACACGTCGGATCACAACCGGCAAATGGTGCTTCCGCAATCTCAAGTCCTAGCTTGTAAATAATATCCATCCCATCCGAACCAGACTCCGACGGCGAATTCAAGAGGTCCTATCGACCAGACGAAAATACCTCCGCCGTAAAGCCATAAACAGCGAGATGCCGGATGTATGTGTGTGTTCGGCCCAAATCTCTGCATTAAACCCCTGCTCCCCCCACCTAATTACCATTCCCCCATAAAAAAACATTCAGGCAGTAGCCTATCCGGAATGCCACAATATCAAAATTTATATACATAATATTCGTATTTATTTAATTATAATTATTTTCGAATTTGCTTTAATATGATTTCATCAATATCTTATATTTATATATTTATTTTATATTATATATAATTAAATAAATATATTTGTATAAAAGTTAATTAATTACGTGACGTGCATTATAAGATTAGATATGTATTCAGTAGTTTTTATAGTCCAATAATATATTATATTAGAATGTATATATATAATTATTTTTTTTTTTTTTTCATAAGAATGATTGATTTATCAAGGATAGGTATTAGGTGGTTACAAGAAGATTCTTAGTCCATACCCAGCCGTCACGCATCCTTATCCTTCTACTGTGGCCACGACGTCGCAACTTCTTGTTGCAGAGCTTGACAAACTCAAGATTCCAGCTCAGGTGACAACATCAACTTAAAATTTTGAGAGATTACCAATGTCAATCATGGAAAGGCAAACAGCTCCCAAAGGAACAACAAACATGGGCAACACTTGGCATACAGTCTGCTGGCACATGCGCCGGCACTGATCGATCTCGCCGACGCGTGGTGTCACATCACAGGCGCTGCGGCATGATCGGTCTTCCAAGCAACTCCTCGCCGCCAGCGTCCGCAGGTGGAGGGCAGCTGTGTCGTCCGTGGTCGTCCGAAAGGGCTCCACAGTCGGTTCTGTGACAGTGGGCACTGTGGGCCTACAAGCCCCTTCGGAAGAGGGTTCGAGGTGCCACGTGAATGTCTGCAATCTCCAGTGCACAAATAGCAGGCGTTAGCTGATCTGTGCTCACGAGTTCCAGCTCCCGCTGCCTGAAGTCTGCACTTGCATGTGGCTTGCAAATTGTCCTGCAAAACGGGCATCGCAAGGGATGGCGTAAATGGAAACAGATCGAGAAAGCAGACCACAAGTTTATCTTTGGGGGTTCCTTTATATCTGTTCAATAGACCAACATGTCGCAATGTCGCATCCCCTGCACAGGCTCAACTGGATCATTTCCACACGGCATCCAAGATGAGAAAGGCTACTCACAGTTGGGCCAAGTGGTCTGAATGAGCTTCCAGGCGTCGCAAGGTGTTCCATCTGAGATTGTATAGGTGCCAGGGTTCTGCTCCCTCTGCTGGGCGAGCTGGCACGCTCCAGGACTTCCACTAATGCTGGTGGTGGGGGTGCTGAGAAGGCCTCCTTGATCTCTCGCCAGGAAAAATGACACGCCTTCATATCCGCTGTCAGAGTAGCCAGCCGTTCTCAATTCCTGAAGTGTGAGGCCCGAGTCATGCACTTCGGCCGCTGAGAAACTGATCTTCCTCAACTCTTCAGGCGAGATGTTTACTGTGCGGCTGAGAAACCAGCAGATTTCAACTCTGCAACTGAAAACTCCTTCAACTCTCCGACTCTGAAGGAGGCCCTTCGCAACTCTCTGAGACAATACGCCGCCTTCAACTCCGCGGCCGAGAAGCCAGCGCATTTGAGCTCGAGGATAGAGTTCTGCGCTTTCAAAGCTGCCGGTCGAAAACCAAGCCGGGTCAAATCTTCGAGGGTGCAGCCCCCCTCAATCAGCTCTGCCACTCGTTGAGAATCCTTTTCGCGACATCGAGGCGTTGAGCCTTCTGTTCTCGACATTGAGTCCTGAAGAGGACTTTGAAGCCGGCCCAACTTAAAGCGGTGTCTGCAAACTGGGCGTCCTTCATCTCATCATATGTGAAGCCCGCCTCCCGGAACTCGGGGAGCGGGAAGAGAATATTGATCGAGAGTGAGATGGATGCCTGCCTGCATAAACTCCACAATTGAAAAACCCGCGTCTCTCAGCGTTTCGAGTGAGAAGCCGGCAGCCCCAATCTCCTTGCTGGAGAGCCCTGCCATTTCCGGCTCAGTAGGTGTGTAACCTGCCTCCTTCAACTGGGCAGCTGAGAAGCCAGCCTCCATCAGCTCCACTGCCGAGAAGCCATCATGCTTCAGTTCTCCGAGTGAGAAGCCGCCAAAATTGATTTCCATGAGAGAGAAACCTGCCTGTCTCACTCGATGAGTGGCCTGCATTTCTTAGCATTCTTGCTTCAAAATCAGCCTGCTTCAAGTCCCTGAGGAACAAATCAGCATCTTGAAATCCGGTTTTGAGAAGCCAGCCTCCTTCAAATCCCTCAGTGACAGCCTGCTGCACGACATACTGCACATGAACGACTGGATGGAGAAACTATGAGAAACCTGCCTCTTTCAGCTGCTTTGGCGAAACCAGCATTTCGCAACTGTGCGCATGAGAGGCCCGCTTCTTTCAATTGTCTGACTGTGAAGCCTGCATCCCTCAGCTCTCCTAGCGAGGAGCCAACGATCATCTTTGTGGCTGCGAAACCGGCCTCTTTCAACTGCTTCCCCGAGAAACGAGACTCTTGCAACTCTTGACATGAAAAGCCCGCGCAAGTCAATTCCCTCGCTGTGAAGCCCGCCTTTTTCAGCCTTTCCAGCGAGACGCCAGCAACGATCATTCTCTTGGCTGTGAACCAGTTTCTTTCAACTGCTGGCTTGAGCAATTTGCCGCAAGAAACTGTGCCGGTGTAAACCCCGCAGGGCATAACTCTCTCATTGTGAGCCCGGCCGGCCTGTTTCAGTCTTTTCAGCGAAAAGCCAGCATCTCTCATTTCCTTGCCTGTGAAGCCAGCGTCTTTCAACTGCTTCGCTGTAAAGCCGGCATCTTGTAGCTGTTGCATTGAGAAGCCAGCAGTTCTCATGTTGTGGGCTGTGAAACCCGCCTCTTTCATTTGCTTGGCCGAGCATTCTGCCAAAAGAAACTCTGAAAATGTGAAGCCCGCACGATACAGTTCTTTGGCTGTGTAACCAGCCTCTTTGATCGCCACCAAGCAATCCACGGATGTGAGCTTCCCCAGCGATGACCGTGATTCTCTCAAAGCAATGATCGCACGCATGCCAACATCGGACACGACCACGACCCTTTTTAGGTCGGGCGGTCCCCTGTGGCACAAAGACTGTGGCGATCCCGGGCGGCAAATGAATTTGATGATCACTACATAAAATAGGATATTATAGTGTATATATATATATTAATGTATATATTGCGTATGTGAGATGCCGACTCTCCACACTTAAAAAAACAGAAACGAGCATCTGAAGAGGCATGACATGATGCTCTGAGCTGATTCTTGTCCCGATGAACCTTCGTTCCCAATGCGCCAGGTCCACCGGTTCCGGACGATCGGACGGTGACTCGGTGATCCGGTCGGTGATGCCGTTGGGGAGGAAGAAACGGGTCCAGTTGGAGATGGCAAGCTTCTTGAAGCAAGGATAGAGCTCGTTTCATTCACCCATTCGTTCAATGAATAGAACGATACCAGTCATTTAAGTGGTTTTGCAGACATCTTGCAAGCAATCGCCTGATTAACGAATGATCTTCCTGTATGTTCCTGCAACATCCCCCCCTGGACTTTTCTTGGTCCCTGACCAAACACATGGAAATTTAAGACCCTCGAAGTCAGAATAAGACCCTTAAGACCCTGAACACAATTTCTGCCCCTCGCATGAACCCCCCCACCTCTCGATCGGCCTGGTTCTTTTGGACCTCGCCATCTTAGCTTCGGTCCTCACACCGATCGGCCTCTGGTGCGTTCGATGTTGGCTTCGCTGAACTGCGGTGTTTCCCGCAGTGAACCGGCCATGGACCCGGAAGGCGTGTCTGTTCCGGACACGGAAAGCCAAGAAGAAGGCTATAGCAGACTGGCTAGCAGCTATACCTGCAAGATTATATACATCTCTTTACATCAGCTCCTTTTTGAAGATCCAATTCCGCACTTCACCACTGAGGGCATGAACTTCCCTTCACCGGCGAAGTTGAAAGGACAGGAAAACGCGCCTCTCGACGCTCCGTCATGGCCAACATGACTGGTTTTTGGGTGGTGAACGTAGGTCTTGGCACCACCGGATTGTTTGGAGCGTTGGAGCTTTTGATGAAACACATTGAAACACCGAAACACCCCGAAAAACTCTTCCAAGTCCAGCCTTGTGACTGCAAAGCTACTTGCACCGCCGAAAGGATGAATCTGTCCCCAGAAAGGGAAGAACTTACAGTAGTAAGAACTGACCCTTCCTAACTCATCCTGACCTTGGATTTGCCAAATCCCAGGTACAACTGGTTTAAAAGACCTTCTCGGTCCGCTGGTCCATTGCCATCTTCGCTCGACTGAGATCTTCCAAGGCCATCTCAGTAAGAAGCTGGCCTTCCTACGGAAAATCTCATTCGGAGTGAAACTGAACTTCGGGATGGGATGCGATTCTGATTCTGCAGCTCGTTCTCGTGGCGGACCATGCTTTCTCCGGATCGCATGAATGTCGGATGATCTTTTTTCTGACTTCGCTCATGCCGAAGGGATCTAATTGTGTTCACTTCCATCTACCCCACCTATTTGACTTCAACTGAAGTCGGCCCGAGAGCACGGCCAGTTTCGGACACTTCGACAGTAGCCCAGTAGCCGCGACGTTCGCCTCCTGCCGCGACGTTCACTTCTCGGGTGGCGTGAGGTCCAGCTTCACGACCTGCCGAAGGTGGCGTGGAGGTCGAAGCGATGAACCACGAGGGTTGTGGTGAGTGGCTCATGACTGACCATCAGGCTGTCACCCCTGACCATCAGGCTGTCAAACAATATGAAACACATGTGCATGTGACTGGCCCAGCACTCGACCAAATGTCTCTTATATAAAAGGGTAGGCCTTGGCATAACCGTGGGACAACACCTATACCTGGACACGACCTGAGACTGGCATAGGACTACCGATCCGTTGGACCCAGTTCTTCTCCTGGGGATTGATGGGGCGGCACATCTGTCGCCATCGCTGCTTCTGAGGCTCCTGGCCACGTTGTTGTTGCTCTTGGGGCCTTGCCTCAGCGGATGCGGAACGATCCGAACCCATGGAACAGCACGGGCGAACTGCGGACCGGACCGGCATGAATGAGTGCAGTAAGCGAATGAATCAAGGGAAAAGAAGACATAATAACAATTGTTTCATCATAAACATTGAATTTGTTCCAATTTCAGAAGGAGCAGGCAGGTTCCTCAACTGGGAGATTCCAGTTTCTTCGGTCAATGACCTTTGTAGGGTTCGAAGTGCCACAAGCCAGGCCAATGAAACATGTGGGTGCTTCTCAAAAAACAAACAAACACAAACAGAGCAGCCCCACACCTGGTGTTGTCATTCATTTCAACTGCTTGTGGGTTGCAGGTGTTTCCTCTTTGTTGCTCTGTCCACGGTCTCGAACCGTGCTTTGTACCGGATCTTGCTGGCAAGCACCGGAACTGACCCCCCAAACCATCTTCTGCGAACGGGAACCTAGGTCCAAAGTCGCCCAGGTTTCCCAACAGATCCACCAGAACCAGCTGCCTGAACCAACCGGACTTCTGCTTGGCCCACACAACAAAAGGTCCCTTGGCGCCATCCACCGTCCCCATCCACGATGGAAACTCTTCCCTGGGCGCCGTGACAAGCCCTTGGCGACGATGTCTCCAGTTTCGTCGCCCATCTGGGAGACGGGGCAGACGAACAAACCGAGGGACGAACAAACCGGGGCGCTGTTGCGGGAACCCCGCACCGGATCAAGATGAAACTAAGCAGTGTCTGCCACCAACTTGCAACTCTCAAAGAAGCCATGTAAAACGGATTCCTCTTCTTACTGACACCATTTCCAGAGTCCCTGTATTGCACAGTAGCGGACTGTAGCATGATGCATAATCATTTCTCCAGATTGTAATCTGAACGTAGATCAATTTACCATTTAGTTATCTTACGCAAATTCGCACATTCTAACTGCCAGCAACTTCCTTTTTCACTCCCTCCACACCTGTTCACCCACAAAAGGAATCACCGTCTTCCGCCTCACAGGGTCGACCCTCCATCAACTACTTCACCCGGCTCGCGCGCTCGTTGGCTCGTTGCCTCGTTTGCTCCTCCCTCGTTTGCTTCCCGCCTTGGCCGCCAGGTGGTCTCGGATCAACGTGGCGCGGTTCTCGGCCATCTGCTCCTGCAGCGGTTCGCGTCGGGCGCTGAAGCGAAGATGTTCGGCTGCTCCCGGGATGGGACGATGGGAGGATCAACAAAGAGCAACCCCGCAACCCCTTAGAGCCAGAAGACGCTGGAAATCAACTCCTCCAACTCCAGCAGTGCGTCCCAGAGATGCATCCAGCAAGTTCAATCGACCGTCAGCTCGGATTCCAACATATTCCAACTATTCTCCCGATCGAAAGATCAGCAAGCTCGAACACTCTGGCCAATCTATCGTACAAGGAGCATCAGCAAATGCACCTTTTTCAAAAACCCAACCCACGAATGTTTGTTGCACAAGGTCATGCATTTCAGGCCCCTGCTAGATCGAACACACCCGACACTTGCTAATCTATTCTATTCTTGCTATATCCTGACTTCCCTTGCTTGCTGGGCCCATACAAATGACATGTGGAGCCAATCCACAGCGGAAACCAATCTTTGAACGCGTAGAAATCCAAACGGGATTCATTGGATTCATTAATCTAGCATCATCACGCATCATCTAGCAATACAAATGTCCCACTTCAAAGGCATTCTTTCAAAAAAAGGGCCACTAGGTCACTAGGGCTACGAGATGTTGCAAGTGAAGCATCAACAAATCCATCAAAACCCTCACTAAACCGCGTCCACTCAACCCGCTCAACCCGCTCCCAGAAGGCATCGGCGCCCTTGCCGGCAGGCTTCACGTGGCTTTCCACCGTGATCCGCGCACCCTTGAGCCTCAGCGACGAGAAGATGAGAACTTATGAGATCTGCAGGGCGACGAGAAGATGAGTTGGGAAGATGAGAACGACTAATGGACTAAAGGACTAAACATGAATGGGACCTCCATGTGATGTGGGGTATCCAAAGGGTATCCAAAGGGTATCCAAAGGGTATCCAAAAAGTATCGATGTCTGAGGTGCAGGAGAACGGGACAAGAATGGTTGCAGCTTGCAATTCACTGCCACAGTGGATGAAGCGCCTTCAATATCCTTCAATTCACTTTATCCGTCTGCTTTCTCAACCTACTCCACACACCTGCTAAGACTCCGGTGGTCTTCCAATGCCGAAGTGTCTGTTCTTTCCCAACCCGGCTCAGCACACTGGTGATCACCCTGTATCACCCTGTTGAAGGTCCAGCATCCACTGGTGTCATGGCATCTCAGTTCCTAATACCCAAACACTCTATATATGCCGATCAGGCCAGGGGTGGTTTTGGGGGACAATTGATTGGCATATATGGAGTGTCTGGGATTCGGAGGACCGAAGAACCACCCTCGCAACGTCTGGCGAAGTCGACCTCATATCAACCCATCTTGGATCCTTCGACACAAGCCAGGAGCTTCCAAAAGAATGCGCTGTCACGTGTCACGCGTGAAGCAGAACACGTGTCGCGCCACGTAGCCAGAACACGGGCCATGAGCTTCTTTAAGACCAAAAACACCCCCAAATGCCTTCCGCCCGCGGCGGAGTAGATGGGAGCTCCTCCCAAAAGCAGTGGTTGTGGTGGGTGGAGGGCCACACGGGAAGCCAACACACCAGGTGCCCCCGGCATACTCACCAGTTCGGAGGCATCGGCCAAGGCCTGGCCATGGCAAGGTGACTCGTCGGGTTTGGGTGGAAAATGGCTGTTTCGTTCGTCAGATCTTAGATTAAGACGTCGGATCTGGGTGGGGGAAACAATGGTGGGTAGACTTCTCTTTTTGTTGGTGAGACTTGCTGTCAGAGTTTCCCGGAGAGACATATGGAGACACTCCCGTACGAGCTTGGAAACATACACCCCAAGATCTAGGAATCTTCCACCTTTTGGATCTGTTGGTCCATCTACAGTATCATGTGCCAATCATGGATTATTATACAAAGAGCAGACCTTCAATGTTCAACTATATATTAATTGTTGTTGGATGTTTTTTTGCTGGAATTGTTGTTGGAACTAATATGTTCAACTATATTAACTGCTGTTGTAATGCTTTTGTGAAACTCTTCAAATTCACGACCACTCTTGACTAAAGTGGTCATCGCGCATACAAAGAGCCTCAAATCGCAAACCTTCAATGTTCAATGTTCAACAACATCAACAGTTCTCCAGACCCTTATCTTGACCTAGATGACTACCATGTTGGTACCACAAGACCTAGAGCTAGAGCTACATGGTGTTGGAACATGGTAGTCATCTAGGTCAGGGTCTATCATGTGGAACACTACCATGTTTTGTTCCACCGAGCCACTGCCACGGGTGTTTGTTCTTTTTAGGTCTCCCCCACCGTGGTGGCCAGCGACTCATCCGTGAACTGTGCCACAGGCGCCTGGCGATGGCGCCGTGGCGGCCGTCGACGGCCGTGGTGTCCCACAATAGACATGCCAAGACCACCAAAAAAACCCTGGTGTCAATGCTGAGACAAGTCAGTTGGCCTCACCATATTGATACCAACTCACCATATTGATACCAATATATATAAACAATACTATACCTTGCCAATACTACTATACATATTACATCAATCAATTCATGGAAGTCCCAAGCTCCTTCCTCGCTGCTTCTTCCGCTCCGGTCCCCGGCGCTCCCGTAAAGACGGGTGAAGGACCGTGCTTCTTTCGTCAGGTCGTTTTCAGGTCCAGCAGGCTGGAAAGGACGAGTAATACTTGTTTGGCTCAAACTGGGCAAAGGAAGGTTCTATTGCCGCAAGTCCTCCTTCTCGATCCAAACATGAAGCAACGTTGTATCAGTGCACCGCAACATATCGCAACGGGCACCGCTTCGCTTCTGGCCTCGGTGGGCTTCTTGGCTTTGAAGTCCATGCCTTTCTTGATCTCCAAGACCTTCCAGTGCGGCGCTTCCAGCCCACACTCTCGAAACCCACGGAAAAAAGGAGTAGTTTTTCAGCGGCTTTCCAAGCAAAACCACAGGCGCCTATGGTTTTGCTATCTCGTAAGATTTTTCCATATGACTAAGCCCATGGAGTTAGACATGAATTCAGGGAGTGTCATACATTTATAGACTCGCTCCAAGTGGGACCGTCTTTGTATTACTTTTGTCACCCCAAGGAAACCACAGATCTTTGCTCCGCAGGAATGTACCCTGCATTTGGGCACAGCGGTTCTCCGCCACCATCGAATATAGAGGTTCGGTGGGCCCTCACAGCCACAGGTTCGGTGGTGCAATGGATCCCCATCTGTCATCCGACCTCTTCGGGTGCCATCGATATACTCCGAAACCATCCGAAACCGCTGTAAATCAGCTAAAAAAGCAAACTCAATAAGTGACACCAAACCGTTTTGTCCCCCCCATTCTTCCACTGACTGCACATTGGTGGAACAGCCTGTGCAGCTTCGTGAAAAGAGTGGAACGTTGGATTTTCCACACCCACGCCCGAAGATGTGTTCCACACATTTGAAGAAAAAACACCATGGAAACCCACCGCAGTCGTCCCCCCTGTTTGAAAGGGGCGTCCCGCCTAAGGGCCAAGAAGCGACGAACGGAGCCGGGCGTCTCCGGGCATCGCGCTACCCGGGCGTCAGGTCCGGTGACTTCCACGGCGCTCGGCTCTTCGACGGACCGCGCGACAGACCGGGCAGCCCGACCGACTTGCCCACGTCCAAGACCACATGCCCCCGGCTCTCGATGAGCTTCACCTACGACGGCGCGACGGCGACGAAGCAGCGACGCGACGCGAAGAACGCTGCTGAAGAAGCGATGGGATGACGAGGAAGAACCGAGGAGCAAGGCTGGTGGTGTTCTTTGTGGCTGCTTCGGCTGCTTAAAACATCAAACTTTGGCGGCTGCTTCTATGCAAAGAAAGGTCCAGGTCCAGAGCTTCCATGATTGACTGGTCCGTTCATTTGGTGTGACCATGTTCTTCTAATCCAAGGTTGTAGGTTCCATGTCACAACACGGCAGCAGATTTGGACAGTCCAACTCTCCTCTTCCAACAACACAGAGAAAAAAACACACACCTACGACTACTTAGACGAGCGATCCCTGCGCCATCCGCAAACACCACCAGCAGTCTACACTACCGACCAGCATGTTCCAGTGTTTCCTGTTTCCATGTCACATGTCCCTTTGTCTGGGCGCACGCTTTTCATGTAGTGGCTCCTTTGACACCTTCACTCCAATCTGTACAGAGGAGATGTGGCGTGATAGAATCTTTAAGACGTCCCAGGACAGAATTAGGAAGGACGTCGAATCTGCACAGGGAATCGTTCCATTGCGCGTCAGTGCCGATTGAACCAACCACCATTGAGTTGAAACTAGATAACCGATTTACTGAAAGCAAAAGTGCATCTGGGTCAAATCCTACATATGCGGTTTTTTGATGATTTATGTCCATACAACAAATGTACAGGGATTTTTTTGCACAGGATTTCAGAGTGGCTTTGGGGATGTTAGACAATCAAACTTGAGAGAGGAGGGTGTGAACGAAAGGTACCAGGTAGCAGGCAATCACAAGTAACCCTGGTAGAAGTCCACGACGGCGTGAACCGGCGCAGGGGGGATTTGATCCAGGGGGGGGGGGCCCCCCCCCGACGAACAGAATCAACTCTTACAGGACCAAATTCAATGCACAATCCCAACTCCTGATTGTAATGCATTTTTGCTAAAGCAAGGAGAACTCAGGTAGCTCAAGCTACCTTTCGTGACTTATCAAACCGTTAAGCATTGATGGCCTTGAACCGCAAAAATCCACAGCTCTGCAGGTGTTTGTCTAACACACACACAACCTCTGTGATAGTTCTACCGATGGGGTGGTCCGTTGTAGATGCCACTGGTTGGTTTGGGGGATACGATGAGAAGAAAAAACCGTCTGATTTGGCAAATGTCTTGACTGAAACAAAAAACACATCGACTGAAACGCAACCCCCCAAACAGAATTGACCAAGCATGAGGAGTCTCCCTCTTGCGCCTCCTCTGAGATTTCCTGTTCCTCTTCTTCTTCTTCTTCATTTTTGCTGTGCATATATCCTCCTATTCAAACCATATTCATATATATATATACTATAGATATATGTTACATACACGATACAGCAGATTATAGCAGCATATCCTATTTTGCAGACGGCACCCGCACAGCTTTGCTCGGTTGATCCTTCGCAGCGAGCCCTTCTGCGGCGCCGGACACGGAGGCTCCTTCGCCCCAAGACCGACCGGAAGTGGTGAAGAATGGAATCTAGGTGGATGCGGATGAACATCGATGCAAAAAGGATTCATGCGACTCACTAAGCATGGTTACGTGGATTCCACCCGCTGTTTGTAGAGGAAAGTCGTCTTCCAAGTGGCCAAGCCATCCACGTAACCATGTGATGTGTTCGTCAGAGTGTAAAATAATGCGACTTTGGAGGTTGGAACCTGTCAGGCTGTCACCCCGTTTTCATCACCATGGAAGATCTGACAAAAAGTGCCTGGTACGGGCCCGAGGGTGTTCACATGTTTTCACCCTGCAACAAAATGATACACTCCCTGAAATAATCATGAAAGTGGAAAACCACCTGTTTGTAGAGGAAAATGGTCATCCAAGGGGCCATGGCATCCACTTTCGTGACTGTTTCAGGTAGATTCAGGGACCAGGGAGTGTATATATCAGTCCCTACTCACTCATCCCTACCCAACAACTTGTCGCCTGACTCCCGAAAAGAACATGGCCGAGTGAGCGCCTTATTGATGAAAAATACCTCACCTTCTTCGTCGGTCAATGTCAAGTCGCAACAGCCACCCGTGACATGAGCTTCACTCAGCTGTGCTCATCGTGAGTTTTCTCGATGAGCCTTCACAAGAGCATCTACCACCTCAGAGTGTTGATGCCGGGCCGTTTTGATGTGATTGTTTAGTCTGCGACGATTGGAACCCACCCTCAAAGAAGTGTCTCTGGATGTCTCTGGTGACCGTTGACACTGCACATGACAAAATATCAAAATATTGACCTGGGGCTCCATCCACATCCTCAGAAGGCAGTTAGAGTAGTAACGTAGACTCTTGAAGACTCTTGATTCATAAACCTTCCAGTTGAATTGGACATCCTCTTCAAGCTTGGGGGTTTATTAATCAAGAGTCTACATTAGTAGGTGTTTGATCCACCTTTCACCCGGCCCCACCCATCATATCATCCACATCCAAATGTCCATCACCAAGTCCCATCTTATGCTTCTGACTCTCAACAGTATTCGTTTACACTTGCATGGTTTCACCTTGCACCCACACACCGCACATGCAATTTCAATTTGTTTATACACCTTTGCTTTCTTCCTAATTTCATCGCTCATCTCTTCTCTGCATGTGATTCATCTCTCTCACTTTCTCAGGGCTTCTCTCAGCCCAAATTTCCCTATGGCCTGACATCATCTCCCCTGAACATCTCATTTTACACACACACCACACGCATGCAACTTCCATATTCTAAATATATACTACGTCCATCCCTTTAGATCTAGGGCGGAATGAAAGGTGGTGCAAGGCCCTCATAGAAAAGAACTAGGTCGAGTCGCAAAGAATGCATTTCCTCCATATTCCTCCATTCCCAACCGTCTCCGGAAACACGAAAAACGCTTCCGGAAAAATAAAACGTTCACAGGCGGAGAAGAACTGCCTAACCATTGAGAGGGCGGGGATTGATCACCGGCACTGGCAGACGGTTCCGATCGGATTGGGCAGCATTCCGAATTACTCAAGAGATGTGATGTACAGTGCTCCAGGAGCTCAGAGCATGCGAAGCTCGAGTGCTCAAGGCAATCCCACATTTCTTTGGCATTGTGCTTTCCAGTGATGACTAGCAAGGTCAGTGTACTGGCCAGTGTCACTGACCAGTACACTGACCTTTTTCAGCGATGTGGGTATGAATCAAGCGGAGATGCCGATGACACGACTCCGTCTGGTCTGTGGACTGCCCGAACTTTGAGCGTCAAACACTTCGGTCAGGTCCTCGAAGAAGATGGGCTGAAGACTTCCCCCGCGCTTGGCATCCGAAGATGTCTACACTGGACTGCGAGAAAGGATGATGAACTGATCATCAGAAACAAGGATGACAGCGGCATGGTTTGCTTTGAAGGTCCGATTCAGGGTGGCGAATGGTGGTGAGGTCAGTCACACCATCTACGAGTGATGAGACCATCAATGAGCTGTATGATCTGACATTGGCACTTCCAAATTCAAAGCTGTCAAAGTTGGCACCAATCACCAATCTGCACTGTACTCTGCACTGTCTGACAGGAACATACTCCCCTTCAGATTAACGTGGAACCCCAAAACCACTGGGTTGTATTGTAGAGGAAAATCGTCGAACCCACCGTAACCCACCGGTCAATTCTCAGGTTCCATGGGATCGTTTGCGAGAGGGTAGATGCGAATGGTTCAGTGCGGGTTGTGAATCCTTCAGCGACACAAACAGAGCTTGAAATTTGACGATGTCTCCTGGTTCCAGGACTTTGATGTCTAATTTCACGGGGTCATGGCACCTAGGTTGCCTGAATTGCCCCTATATAAACACATATAAACAACAATTTTGATCCATTTTGAAATTGAGCCAAGAGTCTTGAGGCCGGTTTTGGCCTTTCTCCTTTTCGGATGGGAAGTATTCCGAGACAGCAATGATGTGGATGAAGAGAGCAAGGTGTTAGTCTTCGTTTCTGAAAAAAGGGTTGACATCTCATGACACGACAATGGACAGCACAGGACAGCACCATTGGAAACACATGAAACAGCAAAATCAAGTCGGTGAGTTGGTTGATCACATGACGGTTGATCACATGACCTTGTTGGCCTCAGAACACAGCGTCTAAACGCATGATGTTCTTCGTTCTCTTTGATGGTGTATATATAAGCAGCTCATGGCGTATGAGGTGTACCGCAGTCACCGCAGGAGGGAACGGTTTTTTTGAAAGGACCAAAACATATTTACAACTCAACCCCGCACCCCCCTGCACCAAAACAAACATCGATGAACAAAGAACAAAAGCATGAAAAAACAACATCCGTTCATCTCCGTTCACTCAAACCAAACAACCGGCCCTTAAAGACGGTGACGACTCACCAGCTGTGTTTGGCACCGACCTGTATACTTGGTATCCCCTCTATAGATCAATATAGTAAAAGGCCATCTATGCTGCAAAGCATTTTTGGCATCCTTCCGCAAAATGGTCAACTGCACAACAGCACTCTTGTGGTGCACAGAGCACGCGCAGCGCACAGCGCGCGAAACAGTTGGATCTCCCAAGAACAGTCGACTCGACAATCTCCACCCCGGTTCAGGGTTGTGAGTGACTGGACTGTTCAGCCAAGTGGAAAAGTGATCTTCCGCAAAGATGCATCATTCTGCATCTGTTCTTAAAAGGCTGATGTCAACTGTACAAAAGCACTCCTGTGGTGCACAGAGCACGCGTTCGCACTCGAGCTATTGGATCTCCCAAGAACAGTCAATCCCGGCATTCCACGCCCGCTCCAGGGCGCCGTTGACTCCCTCAAAATGAGCTTTGGGTATCAAGAGTTCTGCTCTGAAGCAAAGATTGAGATCATTCCGACCTGGAGCCTTAAAAGAACAAAAGAAGTAATGAAAAGGCTTATATAGAAGCCTAGAAACCCAGAAAGCAAGTTGGAATGGGCAAGCGCTAGGCGCAGTTGTTTCGGGAAATCCCGTTTACTCTGAACGACTTCCACAAAAAAAAAGAAACAAGACCCGATGATTGTTATGTAGCGACTGCACTTGACTGTGCTCACGCCTTTCAAACAAGTATAGGATGCTGTGCAGATACTTGATGCTGCTCTGGCAAATCACTCAGTGGTATAGACAAATAGCATGGGTTTAGCATGGGTTCGAGA